GAGGAGGAGGAGGAGGAGGAGGAGGAGGAGGAGGAGGAGGCGGATGGGGAAGGGAGCCCTGACCCTTTCGCGAACGCCAGACCATTTGTTGATACAACAGTCGAAAACCCTCCTCCGGGAAGCCTCTTCCCTCCTCCAGAAGGCCTGCTCCCCGCGGGGCGCCTGATTCTCCTCCTCCTCCTCTTGGCGGCTCCCTCCTCCTGGAGGCCCCCTCCCGCCGAGGACGGGCCGCCCTGGCCCCTCCTCCCTGGCGAGCAGGGGGCTGGCGGATCTCGGGGGAGGCGTCGCAGGGCCGCGTCGGCTGGGCGGAACGGTGGGACGCGGGGGGGGGTGGCAAAGGGAGGGGGGAGGGGAAGGGGGGCAGGTGGGAGGAGTGTATTGGGATTGCGGATTGGGGGCGGCAGGGAGGAGATGGGATGGAGGGATGGGGGACTGAAGAATGATTGGAGGGCGGGGTGAGGGGGTAGGGCGGGCGGCAGAGGAGGGGAGGGGAGGGGAGGGGAGGAGAGGGTTGGAGTGGACAGGGAGGGACAGAGGTATGCAGCCAGGCAGGCAGGGAGTGAGGAGGAGGAGGAGGAGGAGGAGGAGGAGGAGGAGGAGGAGGAGGAGGAGGAGGAGGAGGAGGCCTCCAAGGGTCCTGTGTGGTCGCAGCCAGCAACCTTTCCCCGAGCCATGACCCCCGTTCAGACTTGGTCTTCACCGTGGACCAGGAGAAGCAGGTGTGCGTGAGCTCGGAGAAGCAGTCTAAGAGCACCGACCTGGACGCCGAGCTGCAGGGACTTGTCGAGGAGAGAGCAAAGCCTTATCGCGAAGCGGTGCAAACCGAGATGGACAGGTACGTCGCCCAGCGATATACCGTGCTCAAGGCTGGGGCGTCCGCTGTCGCCGTCTTTACTTTCAAGGGAAAGGACGAGGATGGGATAGAGCTCCGGGTGGTTCTGTCGTCCAGGCACTCTAGGCCGCGGGGGTTCTGGGCGGGCAACTGGTCCTCCCAGTGGCGCGTAGTCCTCAAGCCCGACCAGAGCGACTCCGCGATGCTCGGCGGCATCATCGAGTTCGCGACGCACTACTCCGAGCAGGCCGATGGGCTCGCCTTGGCCGCCCCTCGACGCCGGCCCACTCGGAGAGATCCCCTCGAGGGGGGCCAGGGCGGCTGCGGGTGAAAGTGTCCCTTTGCCAGAGTGGCCTTTGGTGCGATCCCACTGGGGTCCTCAGGGGCAACGGTAGGGGTGGTCGTAGGCTCTGGGGGGAAAGCATCGGACCCCAAACGTGTATTCATTGCCGACAGGGGCCTGATGGCCCACCCCGCCCAGGAACGTGTTGTTTCGTCATCGAGGACCTATGGCCAGTCAGCCGATTTCCATTTAATGTGCTCCCCCTGTCGTCTCCCTGCAGCAGCACTGGCACGCGCGCTTGGATATGCCTCCCCCATGCAGGCCGCGCGCCGACTGTCACTCTTGGCCTGTGGGGCCACTCCTCGCGTGTAACCGATCTCTGGCGGGTGTAATGCCGGGGAAGTCCCCGACATCTCTTCTCTAGACTTCACCGAGCGCGTTCCACTACTCGCAAAGTGCCTACTCGCAATCGTCTGGAAAAATACATGTCTGCCTCGATGCAAGGGATCGTACACTCCCCGCGGCGGGTCCAGGTCATTTGCGAGTAGGTACTTTGCGAGTAGTGGAACGCGCTTGTCTCAGACTACCGCGCAGGGGGCGCGGAGGCGCGCAGGTTGAGGTCGCGCCTCGCGCCCTGCGGCCGGGGTCCAGGGGGAGGCGCCGCAAGTGCGCGGAGGTGGCGCGGCGCGAGGGGCGGGGGTGTCGCTGCCGGGTGGGCGGCCGAGGCGAGGGCCCCGTCGGGCAGGGGAACGTGCACTTCCGGCGCAAGGCCGTCAAAAAGGCCAAGGTCGAGGGCACGGGGAAGCCAGAGATGCTGGCGGCCAACCTCGCGACGGCGATCGGCGCCTTCGAGGACGAGTTCCACGTGGCGGTGGAGGAAGGGGGGCGACCGCGTAACTCATACTCGGGCATCGCTCCCTGGCTCCGTCCCCCGCCCAGGAGTGGGAAGGACAAGCATGAGTGTGGAACGAGTCACTGGGCTCCGCCCACTCCCACCCTCCCCCTGTGATGCGTGTGCCGAACTGGGCGGGGCGACGCTATGCGGCCACATTCCGCGTGGGCTTCGGGGGAACCCCCTGTGGGGCCACGAAGCGTGAGATGGGTGTGTTTCAAGTTGAGCGGGGGACGCTATGCAGCCGCACCTCCTGAGGACTTCGGTGAAATTCCCTAGGGGCCGAACCGTGTGGTGTGTGTGTGTGTGTGTGTGTGTGGTGTGTGTGTGTGTGTGTGGTGTGTGTGTGGTGTGGTGTGTGTGTGTGTGTGTGGTGTGTGTGTGTGGTGTGTGTGTGTGTGTGTGTGTGTGCTGGACTCTTCCCTCGTGCATCGCGGCTTGAATTCGCATCCAGTGCGCCCCCTGATACTCGATCGCCGGAGCAGTCACCCTCTGCCCAGCCGCCGACGCGAAAAAGTGTGCTGGAATGGGCGGGGGACGCTATGCGGCCACACCTCCTGGGGGGGCTTCGGTGAAGCTCCCTGTAGGGGCCACGAAGCGTGTGATGGGGTGTACCAACATGGGCACGCGGAGAGCAGAGGAATGAGGAGGGCGAGGAGGACGAGGGAGGAGGAGCAAGCAGGAGGAGGAGGAGGAGGAGGCGGAATGAGGAGGAGGACGCGGAGCGTTGCGAATTCAAAACAACACCCAACTCAACACTGGATGGCTGGGAAGAACGCGCGCTGGACAGGGGAATCAAGAACACTTATTCTTCATACGTGAGAGTTCAACGAGAATCCGCACCGCTGAACCCCACTTCAGCCGCGCACCGAGGGATGGTGCAGGAGCGTTCGGCCTCCTCAATCTAGTATATGATATTTTCAACAGACTTGCGTCATTCCGCCGACCCCCAGAAGAGATGTGCGGCTTCCGATTTCTTCCCGTCGCTGCCTGCGTGTAGTTGCAGCTGATTCGGCCTCCTGTTCCTCTGCATCTGTCGTTGGATGCCTTTTCGAGGCCTACGGGGGCGGCCTCTTGAAGCCTCTGTCAAGCTCCTGGGGGCTTTGCGGGCCCCCCTGGCGGCTTCTCTTGGGCCTCTTGGGAGCATGTTGGGGGTCTTGGGGGCTATCTTGTGGGGGAGGGCTCCTGGGGCCCTGCGATGTCCCCCTCTTGGGCACCTCTTGGGATCCTCTTGAGTTTTTTTTTTAGCTGTCTTGGAGGCCCCTTGGGCCGTCTTAGGGCCCTCTGGGGCCGTCTCTGGGCCCTCTTGAAGGCCTCTTGGGCCGTCTTTGGCTGGTCTGGGGGGCCTCAGGCCGTTTTGGATTCTTGATCCTGAAACACGAGAACGTGAACATCGTTTCAACAGCAATGGAACATCAATGGGTTCTGCCTCTTGAGGCCCTCTTCGGAGGTCTCCTTGGGGCCCTCTTGGGGCGTCTTCGGACGCTTTGAGGCCATCTGGGTTGTCCTTGAGGTCTCTCGACGCGTTGGAGCCCTGTGGAGCCATATTGGAAGGCACTGCGGCCATCTTGGAGGCGACGGAGGCTCGATTTGGAGGCTCCAGAGGCCCCGTGGGCGCGTCTAGGAGCTCGTCCCCGTCCCCTCCCCCCGGGCCCCCGCACCCCGAATGCGATTTTGGGCCGTCGGGGAGGGGGAAAGCGGCGGAAGACAGCCAATCATCTCACACGCCTTTGCACCCCCAGCATGCGGGGTCGACGGATATACACACAAACACACAACATGGGAAGAGTGATACGCTTTTGTGATCTCGGAGGAGGAGTGCATCTCTTTCGGTGCCAGCTCTCTTCAGACCCTGCGGCGCGTGCTGCCGATGTCCAAGGAAAAGTTTGACTGGCGGCAGGTCAAGCTATCACTGGCGCGTGATTTGAAAGCGGTGAGCAAGGATGGCGGCCGCGGGGAAGAGTGACCGGCAGGCCGCCCACGCCACAGGCAGCCACATTGGGTCACGCTGAGCTGCCCGCAAGATGTCAGCAGTTCCGGATGGCCTGCTGCTCCAGGACTGAAGCGGACGGCGCCAAGTGCTGCTGACTTTGAGGGGTCCAGCTGGCATGTGCATCTGGACAACTAGTCCTCCTTGCCCTTGGGGAGGCGCCAAAGATGCAGTCTCACCTGTCCTGGCAAGGCCAATCTGGGGTTCAGGATCGGTGTATTGGAGATTTGTGTGTGTGTGTGTGTGTGTGTGTGTCTGTGTGTTTCTGTGTGTTTCTGTGTGTTTCTGTGTGTTTCTGTGTGTGTGTGTGTGTGTGTGTGTGTGTGTGTGTGTGTGTTTGTGTGCGTTATGTGTGTTTGTGTGAGGGGGTGTGGCCGAGCTGAAACAGAGCGCCGCCCCCCACTGGCAAATCGGCCCGGCTTCGGCTCGGCTCGTGTCGCGCCGTGTCGCGAAGCTGCGCGACGGGGAGAGCGAGGGCAGTACGGGGTGGCAGTTCCCCCCAACCCCTTTGACATCAAAAGCCGAGCCCGCTTTGAGGGGAGTTAGGACTTTTTCTCTCCAGGCTCCTCCAAAACCTCCTCGCGTTTTTGTTTGTTGTTGGGGGGGGTGGGGGGGGCTGGGGGGGTTCCCCTCGGACCTCTTCCAAACACTCGTTTTTTTTGCGGGGGTTAGGGAGGTACCCCCCTGAGGATGTTTTTTGTTCGGCGTTACGGGGAGGTCCCCCCACCTCCAGAACCCCTGAACCCCCCTCTCAGGTTCGTTTTCCTGGGGGTGTTAGGGGGGTTGTCCCCCTTGTGGTTTGTTTATTTGTTCTTCGTTTTTTTTTTGGGGGGGGGGTGTATGGTGGTTTTCCCTCCGATACCTTCAACAAAAAACGTCAGGATTTTTTCTTTGGGGGGGGAGGGCTAGGTGGATCTTCCTTTTCGGACTCCCCCCAAACCCACCTCAATTTTTTCCGAACACTCCTGTGTGTTGGGTCCTCGTTTTGAACTCGCAGCGCCGCGCCTCTCCTTCCTCCCTCCCTCCCTCCTCCTCCTTCTCCTTCTCCTCCTCCTCCTCCTCCTTATCCATCCTCCTTTCCCCAACCCTCCAGTGCGTTGCAGGGAGGTCAGCCGAAGGCCCAAGTAGCAGCGTCCGCATGGTTTTTCGAGTCCGTTCTGACACACCCCTCACTCGTTTCGTAGCCCCACGGGGAGGTCCACCGCAGGCCCAAGTGGCAGCGTCCGCATGGTTTCTCGGGTCCATTCTGGCACACTCCTCACAGGTGTCGTGGCCCCACATGGAGGTCCACCGAAGGCCCAAGTGGCAGCGTCCGCATGGTTTCTCGGGTCCACTCTGGCACACCCCTCACACGTTTCGTGGCCCCACAGGGAGGTCCACCGAAGGCCCAGGTGGCAGCGTCCGCGTGGTTTCTCGCGTCCATCCTAGCACACCCCTTACACGTTTCGTGGCCCCACAGGGAGGTCCACCCACCGAAGGCCCAAGTGGCAGCGTCCGCATGGTTTCTCGGGGTCCATTCTGGCACACCTCTCACACGTTTCGTGGCTCCACAGTGAGGTCCACCGAAGGCCCAAGTGGCAGCGTCCGCATGGTTTCTCGGGTCCATTCTGGCACACCCCTCACACGTTTCGTGGCCCTACAGGGAGATCCACCGAATGCCCAGTGGCAGCGTCCGCATGGTTTCTCGGGTCCATTCTGGCCGCTCACACGCTTCGTGGCCCCACAGGGAGGTCCACCGAAGGCCCAAGTGGCAGAGTCCGCATGGTTTCTCGGGTCCATTCTGGCACACTCCTCACAGGTGTCGTGGCCCCACAGGGAGGTCCACCGAAGGTGGCAGCGTCCGCATGGTTTCTCGGGTCCATTCTGGCAAACCCCGCACGCGTTTCGTGGCCCCACAGGGAGGTCCACCGAAGGCCCAAGTGGCAGCGTCCGCCTGAGTCCTCGGGTCCATTCTGGCACACACCTCACACCTTTCTTGACCCCACACTGCGACTCCATCGAAGGCCCCAGTGGTATCGTCCGCATGCTTAGTCGGACTCATTCTGTGACACTCCTCACACGTTTCGTGACTCCACACTGCGACACCGTCGCCGTTTTCGTGTTCGTTTGGGAGGTTCGGCGGAGCGGTGTGGCTTAGCGGTGAGGTTGCCCATCGGGCCCTCTGATCACTTCTCACTTTTGACCACGAGTGAGGCTCGTGCGCCCTGGTTTTTCGGCATGTGCTATCGCTACTACCCTGCGAGGTTTCCCATCGGGCCCTCATCGGTTCCACGCTCGTTGAATGGGTTGGGTTCTTCGCCAGGGTCATTTTGGGAGGTTTTCCCGTCTGGACTTCCCCAAAAATTCCCATAATGTTTTACTTTCGGGGGGTAGGGGGTTTTCCCACCCGGACCCCGCCCAAAAACTGCCTCAGTGTTTTTTTGAGGGGTTAGGGGGGAGTTTCCCTCTTGGAGTCCACGAAACATCTCCTCCACTGAGTTTTTGAAGATGTTAGGGCGGTTACCCCCCTGGACACCCCCAAAACACCTTTCAGAGGGGTTCTTTGGTGGGTCAGGGAAGTTTTCTTTTTCGGACCCCTCCAGAAAACTCTCCTCCGGGGCGTTTTGTCTGGGGGTTGGGGAGGTCCCCCCCCAAGACCCGCCCAAAAACTTCCCTCAGGTTTTTTTTTGGGGGGTTGAATGACTTCTCCTGTCGGACTCCCTCAGAATATCATCCAAATTCTTTTTGAGGGGAGGAAAGACAGTTTCCCCCTAGGCCCATCAAAAGACCCCCCTCAGGTTTTTTGATGGGGAGTTCGAGGGGTTCCCCCCTGGACACCCACAACCCCCCCCCCTCAGGGATTTGTCTTTTTTGGTTCCCCCATCCTTCGAATAACTTTCCTGAGGGGGGTTTTCCCCTCTCCTCTGCTGTGCACCGCCCGCTGCTAGACAAGGCGTTTCCCCAGGAGGCAGGCTCCCAGAGGCTTCCTGAATGCCCCAGAGGCTCACGGAGGCCCTCGGAGGCCGTCGGAGGCTCCCAGAGACCTTCGGAGGCCCCTGTCGAAGGCCTTCGGAGGCTGCTTTTGGAAATTACGAAAGGCTATTGGAGGCCTTTGGAGGCCTTCGGAGGCCCCTGGAGGCTATGCGAGGCCCCGCGAGGGACTGCGGGCCCTCTGCTGTGCATCGCCCACTGCTCGACGAGGGCCCTCCCCAAGCTGACTCAAAAAGCATCCTTGGTACTGCTAGACAAGGCCCCTCACCAAGGTGATTAAGGAAACTTCCTTAGTACTAGACGTGCCCTTGTGCCGTGCGCCAGCTGCTGCTCGACGAGGCCCCTCCCCAAGCTGATTAAACAAATATCCTTGGTACTAGATGTGCCCTTGTGCCGTGTGCCGCCCACTGCTAGACGAGGCCCCTCTCCAAGTAGACGTGCCCTTGTGCCGTGCGCCAGCCGCTGCTCGACGAGGCCGTTCCCCAAGCTGATAGAAAAGCATCCTTGGTACTAGACGTGCCCCAGTGCCGTGCGCTATCCGCCGCTAGACGAGGCCCCTCTCCAAGCTGATTAAGGAAGCCTCCTTAGTACTAGACGTGCCCGTGTGCCGTGCGCCAGTCGCTGCTTGACGAGGCCCCTCCCCAAGCTGATTGAATAGCATCCTTGGTACTAGACGTGCCCCTCTACTGTGCATCACCTTCTGCTCGACCAAGCTGATTAAGGAAGCATCCTTGGTACTAGACGTGCCCATCTGCAGTGCATCACCTTATGCTCGACGAGCCCCCTCCCCGTCCTTGGTACTAGACGTGCCCCTTTGCTGTGCACCACCCACTGCAAGACGCCCCTCCCTAAGATCATTGAGGACGTATCCTTGGTACTAGACGTGCCCCTCTGCCGTGCGCCTCCCTCTGCTAGGCAAGGCCCATCCCCAAGCTGATTGAAAACATCCTTGGTACTAGACGTGCCCCGGTGCCGTGCGCCAGCCACTGCTAGACGAGGCGCCTCCCCAAGCTGTTTCAATTATGCCCTTCCCAGCGGAGAGAGCCTTCACTGGAGCTCCCTATGGGGCCACGAACCGTGCCCAATTTGGTGCGGTGGTGCCATGCGAGCCCTCCCACTGGAGCCTTGGGCGGAGCTCCCTATGGGGCCACGAACCGTGCCCAATTTGGTGCAGTGGTGCCATGCGAACCCTCCCACTGGAGCCTTCGGTGAAGCTCCCTATGGGGCCACGAAACGTGTGAGGGTGTGCCGAGCTGGGTGCGGTGGTGCCATGCGAACCCTCCCACTGGAGCCTTCGGTGGAGCTTCCTATGGGGCCACGAACCGTGTGAGGGGTGTGCCGAATTGTGCGCCTTGGTGCCATGCGAGGCTTGCCATTGAGGCCCTCGGCGGAGCCTCCTATGGGGCCACGAAACGTGTGAGGGGTGTGCCGAATATGGTGCGGTGGTGCCATGCGAACCCTTCCACTGGAGCCTTCGGTGGAGCTCCCTACGGAGCCACGAAACGTGTGAGGGGTGTGCCGAAATGGTGGACATGCGGAGGGCAGGGGCACGTATTGGTGGATGGAGGAATGAGGAACGCGGGGCGCTGTCTCTTCAAAACGGAGACCCAACACCACAGGATGGTTGGGAAACCAGCATCCTTTTTACGAGACGTGCCCCTCTGCTGTGCACCACCCACTGCTAGACGAGGCCCCCTCCAAGTTGATTAAAGAAGCATCCTTGGTGCTGGACGTGCCCCTCGGCTGTGCATCGCCCGCTGCTCGACGAGGCCCCTCCCCAAGCTGATTAAACAAATCATCCTTGGTACTAGACGTGCCTCTCTGTCGTGCGTCACCCTCTTCGGGACGAGGCCCCCCCAAGCTGATTAGCATGACATCCTTTGCCCCTGCCCCTGTGCCCCTGTGCCGTGCGCCAGCCGCTGCTAGATGAGGCCACTCCCCAAGCTGTTTAAGCAACACATCCCTGGT